AAAGTAAAAATAAATAGCAAATAAAAAATACTTTATTGCTAAAAAATGCTAATCGTCATCCAAGCTTTCGGAGTCTTAATCACTGATCACAGATCACCATAACAAATTTAATAATAAAAAAAAGTTTGAAATATTGTAAGAATTATGAAAATGTGAGTCTTGAAGTGAGCAAATGCTTTAGAAAAATGGCACCAAAACCTTGCTCAAGGCAGGGTTGCTACAAACTTCCAATTTGTAAAAAATACAAATCTGCAAAATGCAATAAAGTGAAGTACAAGAAAGTGAGGTATGCAAGTGCAATAAAATTTAACTATTTAAAGTATACAATTCAGTGATTTTGTTAAAAAAGAGTTATTTATTTTTTTTAGAGAGAGAGAGGGAAAGCATGAGCAGGGGGAGGGGTGGAAGGAGAGAGAAAAGCAGACTTCTTGCTGAACACAGAGCAGAGCCTGATGCCGGGCTCCCTCCCACAACCCTGAGACCCTGACCTGAGCAGAAAACAAGAGTCAGATACTCAACCAACTGAGCAACTCAGGCACCCACAGTTCAGTAATTTTTAAAATATTCACAAAGTCGTGCATCCATCATCACTACCTAATTCTAGAATATTTTTACTGCCCTAAAGAAATTCCATCTGTAGTTATTCCCTATTCCCCCATTATAGGCCCTATTAATTAATCTACTTTCTGTCTCTATGGATTTTCTTATCCTGGGATACTTCATATAAATGGAATCATAAAAAATGTGGCCTGTCACTGGTTGCTTTTACTTATTTTCAGGGTTCAATCATGTAGCATGTATCAGTACCACATTTCTTTACATGGCTGAATAACATTCCATAGTACAGATGAACCACGTTTTGTTTATCTAACACCCAGTTAGTTGATGGACATTCACGTTCTTTTTGGGCTATTATATGATAGTCATATCATATTATATATATATATTTCTGGATCATATGGTAATTCTATGTTTAATATTTGAGGAAATTCCATTCTATTTTTCAAAGCAGTGCACCATTTTACATTCCAACCAACAATGTATGAGGGTTCCAATTTCTCCACATACTCATCAACTCTTGTCTGTCTTATTATAACCACCCTAGTAAGAATGAAGTGGAATCTTACGGTTTTGATTTGCATTTCCCTAGTGATTAATTAAGTTGATCATCTTTTCATGTACTTATTTTCCATTTGTATATCTGCTTTGGAGAAATGTCTATTCAAGTCCTTTGCATGTTTTTTTAATGGGTTATTTGTCTTTTGTTGTTGAGTTCTAGGAATTCTTTATATATTCTGGTTAGTAATCCCATATCATATATATAATTTGCAAATATTTTCTCCTATTTTGTGGGTTTTCTTTTCACTCTCTTGATAGTGCCTTTTGCACAAAAATTTTAAATTTTGATACTGTCCAATTTTCCTATTTTTTCTTTTGTTGCCTATGCTTTTAGTGTCATTTCCAGGAAATCATTGCCAATTCCAGTGTCATGGACATTCCCCCTCTCCATGTTTTCTTCAAAAAGCTTTAGAGTTTTAGTTCTTACATTTAGGTCTGATACACTTTGAGTCATTTTTTGTTTATGATATGAGATAGGAGTCCAACTTTATTCTTCTACATATAGAAATCCAGTTTTTCCAGTACCATTTGTTGAAAACATTGAAAGGGTTTGGGATCTTGTTGAAAATCATTTGACTATACATGTGAGGGTTTCTTTCTAGCCTCTCTATTCTATTCTTTTGGTCTGTATGTCTATTCTCATGTCACTGTCACATTGCTTTGATTACTGTCACTTTGTAGTACATTTTAATATCAGGAAGTTTGAATCCTCCACCTTTGTTCTTTCTCAAGATTTCTTTGGTTTTCAGGACATGGCTTGTGTTTCTTTGTATTCATTTTGCCAATTTCTGCCCTGAATTGGAGATCAACTGGATTAATTTAAAAAACATTCAAACTAGGCAATATTAAGTGCCTGACATGAAGCTTTTTAATTGTAGTGTAAGTGCCTGACATTAAGCTTTTAATTGCTGAGGCATCCATTTCAAAAGATATACATCTTGAAAAACATATTGCCAGCTGTATGACACAGCTTCTAGCAAAACAACCAGATAAGGAATTAGGCTGCCCCCACCCATGAAGAGCCCTCTTTCAGAAAACCTTGGATAACCTGGACTGCTTGAGTGGCCAGCTTTCCCTTCCCATGCTCTAATTCCAGCTCTTATGCTCTAAACTAGCCAGTAAAGAGTGAACCTGTGAAACCTAAACATGCTACCATTGGATCCTAATAAAGGCAGAGGCCTAGCTCTGCATTCTCTCTCCCTACCTATGATCTGGCTCCGTGGCCCACAGGCATGCCACATATTTTCCAGGACCTATGAGTAATACATCTTTTTCCTTAGTGCTTTCTGATGGGATTTTTGCTTAAGTGCACTCTAAAATAATAATAAGAACCACAAGGCTGGTCTAGCCAAAAAATATGAATAATACAGGCCCAGATGAATGCCTCAGGCATTCCTAGCCAACAGCATCACTATCAACAGGCTGGGACCAACACGACAAAACAATTACTAATAAAGGACTTACTTTTGTCATTTACCTCATTTCTGTGTTTCTCGTGTGCGTTTCCCCCTCAATTCTCCTATCACTGTTTCTTTTTGTATTTACTTGATTTTTATAATGTGCCATTTTAATTTGCTTCTTTTCTGTATTCTTTTAGTTTTTTTCTCAGTGGTTACCTTAGGATTAAAATTAATGTCTTATAATGACCTACCGTGAATAATTCCAACTTAGTTTCAATACTACACAAACACTCTGCTGGTATACACCTCCATCCCTCCTCTTTTTTACTGTTACTGTTACAGACTACATTGTATATATTGTCTGTTCATTAACATCAACTTATAATTTTTGGTTGTTTTATATACTTGCCTTTTAAATCATACCGGAAAAAATAGAATTAAGAACCAAAATTTGAGCAACTCTTTTATATTTACTTATGTAGTTTACCAGAAGGCTTTGAGTTACTGTCTAGAGCCCTTTAATTTCAGCAGGAAGGACCCTTTTAGCTAATTTCTTAGGGCAGTTCTGGTAGGAACAAATTCACTTATCTTTTATCTAGGAATGTCTTCATTTCTCCTTCATTCTTGTAGCATACTTTTGTCAAATGCATAATTCCCAGTTGACAGTTTTATGTGTTGTTGCTGTTGTTTTGCAGAATTCTAAATATATCAACTCATTGCCTTCTGGCCTCCAACGTTTCTGATGAGAAATTGACAGTTTTATTAAATGTCCCTTGTATGTGACAAGTCACTTCCTCTCACTGATTTCAAGATTCTGTTATTTTTTCATAGTTGATTATGATGTGTCTTTGTGTGGTTTTATTGTACCTGAAATTCATAGAGTATCTTGGATTTATAAATTTATGATTCTCCTCAAATTTGGTAAGTTTGCAGGCATTACTTCTTCAAATATTTTCTCAACTCCTTTCTTTTTTCTTCTGCTGAGATTTTTATAAGTTGGCTCACTTAGTGTATCACAAGGCCAATTAGGCTCTGTTCACTTCTATTAATTCTTTTATCCTTCTGTTCCTCAGATTCATTAATTTCAATGAATTCAATAGTCTTATCTTCAAATTTGCTGATTTTTTTCTTCAGCTTGTTCAAATCTGCTTTTGAAGTCCTCTATATTTCACTTCAATTTTTATTTATTTATTTTTTTTTATTTTTATTATTCTTTATTCTACCTAACATTTATATATTGGAATTTTCAGTGAGGAAGAGGTGTGACTTTCTCTGAATTTGTTCATGTATTATTTATTTATATCAGTATTATGAGTATTTATTTTGTTGTTCAAGTTGTTCTAACACTGGCTATTTTCAGGTCTTTAATTTGGTTCCTATACCTTTATAAAACAATTTTTCTTTAGCACTTCTTTACTTTCTGGTACAAGTTGCTCCAGACTCACATTGTGCTTTCTCAACTCATACTGCAGAATGAAGCAGTTTTCCAAGTTCCTGTTATTAAAGAATAGCATGTATAAACCAAGAGCTAAGAGCTAGGTGTACTCATTGCTACCAGACTATTGCTGCTTCTAACTCAATTCGCTGTTGGTTTTTTTTTTTTTCCATTTTTATGTTAAAACAAAGCATTCTTGGGGCCAAACCCACTTGATCAGGATGTATATGTCTTCCTTTTAAATCACTGGACCTAACTTGCTAATATTTTGTTTAAAAATTTTGTGCCTATGTTCATAAGAGGTATTTTTCTATGACATTGTTTTTAAAATTTTTTTATTTGGCTTTAGTATCAGGATAAGTTGGAAAATATATGCACCTGTTCTAATTTCTGAAATAATTTATTTATGACTGGTAACTAATTGTTTATTAAAGGATAGACATCATCCTAGAAGGAAAACTGTGGCTTTTTTTGATGTTTTCCACTTTATTTAAATGTAATCTGATGAAGTTCTATTGTATATTATTGAATAGTTTTTTACTTAAGCAAAGATAAAAATATTCCAGAAAAAAATTTCCATCTTATATAAAGTGAATTGGTTTTAAAATGTTCTTAAATGGGGCACCTGGCTGGCTCAGTTGGTAGACCATATGACTCTTGATCTCAGGGTTGTGAGTTCAAGCTTCATGTTGGGTAAAGAGGTTACTTTAAAAACAAAAACTAGAACTAAAATGTTCTTGGAGCACCTAGGTGGCTCAATCAATTAAGCTTCTGCCTTTGGCTCAGGTTATGAACCCAGGGTCCTGGGATTGAGTACCATATCAGGCTCCCTGCTCAGCAGGGAGTTTGCTTCTCCCTCTTCCTCTGTCCCCCACCACTGCTCATAATCTCTCGAACGTATAAAATCTTTAAAAGAAACTAAAATGTTCTAAAAGTTATTTTTTTTCTTTTAAAAATCTATAGGGCTTTTTCTTGTTTCATTCTTCATTCATTTATTCTATTTCTCTATTCAAAAACTCATAAATTGCCCAAATAAATCACTGTACCTATATATTTCAATAGCTCTCATATCCTCTTCATCAAATTCATCTTCAGCTTCCTTCAACTGTGCAAGAGTCATTTTTTCATATGGTTTAACTAAAACAAAATACATTTTAGATAATTGAATTACTTAAAAACCATTTTTTTTTACTTTATAGAAAAAACAATATATAGATAAATGGAAATAAAGAATATCTTTAATGTTGCAGGTTCTCCAATATATAACTGTATTTTGTGGCTGACTGCTTCAGATTTGTTTAAAGTGAGTCTCCCTTCAAGTTCACAGAATTACCAAGTTACATTTAAAGTAGATGTGAACATCAGTTAGACTCCATAAATTCAGATTTCCCAAGTGCTTGAAAATCTTGACAAATAAAACATATTATATACATGATCAAAATGGAAGATAACCATGGCGCAGAGGAATATGGTAGAGAAAAGGCTCACTAGGTTAGATACCAGGACATTTCAGCTGTTACTAACTAGCTTGTGACATGTGATGCATGAATTTAAAATTTTAGGTATCAGCATCCTAATTTCAAAAGTATAGGTAGGATTTCTAATATCCTTTCTCTCAGTTCATGAAATACATTTTCACTATCATCTCCTTCATCCAGCCCACTAATTGCATAACTGTACCCATTGCTTCTTTCTGTAAACGTAAAACCATTTCTTCAATTTCATCTTTTGGTTCTTCTTTTGGAGGAAGAATGCCAAAATCTCTTAAAATTTCATTCCATTCTGTATCTTCATTTGGATCCTATGAAAAAAATAGAAAATCTATTAATATAGCTGTGCATTTTAATATGTATATACGAAACTGATACATAATAGCATTTTCAACTATGTAATTGTTCATGAGCTCTATAGATAACTAGATAATTAGTTTCAAAGAATAGAACCAAGTGGCCTACTTTTCCCTCACTTCCCAGCACTAGTGGTAACATACTTTGATAAATAGGATACATCCTCTACCCTCAAAGTTACCCTGAGATGTTTAATAAAAAATCAATTTGGAACACATATATCAAATATTAATGAAGTAAACTCATAAATCATGGAAAATTCTCTGATGACTATAGAATTCACATCATGCACACAAATACTGTTCCATTTTTCTACATAGGCATTTAAGACCTCCAGGTGAACATGTTTCTCTTTTCAACTATACAGCTTTGAGGGGCTCTTATTCTCAGGTTAAATGTTAGAAGAGGCTGGGAGGTTTTCCATAGTTTAAATTATGTCTAATCATAGTTTCTTTCTATGAAAGTTAATCTTGTGTTCTTTGTAACTTAGGCTTTGGTATTTTATTTGCTGCTTTTCCAGAAGTTGTAATATATTAACTCTTATCTTTCTAGTTTGATGTCCATTTTCACTGATATTTCCTTCCAGGAGAAGAGAGAACTTTACATACATGAAGGAATACTATGGCAAAGTATTTGATGACTTTGAATGATCTCCACATTCTGGTATTCACATCCCTCCATAGCCCTCTCTCCTTGATTATGGGTGGGAACTGTGACATGCTTCTAACCAACAGAACATGGCAAAGATGAAGAAATGTCATTTCTGTGATTATACTCCATAATATTGTATCTTCCGTCTTGCCAGCACTCTTCTCATTGGCTGGCTTTGATAAAGCAAGCTGCCATATTGTGAGGCGCTCTATGGAGAGAACTATGGGAATAACCCGCAATCAGCTAGAAATTGAGGTCTTTAGTCATATAGCCCCAAAAGAACTGAATTCTGCCAAATACCATGTAAGTGAATTTAGAAGTAGATCCTTTCTCTGCTGTACCTTCAAATGAGACTGCAGCTTTGGCTAACACTTCCATTGCAACCTTGTGGGAGACTCTGGAGAAGAGGTCCAGCTAAGCAATGACTGGATCCTTGACCCATAAAAACTCTGAGACAATAAATATGTTGTTTTAAGACACCATGTTTGTGGTACTTTGTTATGCAACAATAAATAACAAATACAAGTACCATCTTATTTCTCCTCTTCATTCTATTCTTTGGCCAAAGTTTTGTTTTTCTATCCACGCTTTGTCTTTTACTAGTCTCCCTATCCGTGAGATCTTCCTTTCTATTCTTTCTTTTCAATCCCTATTTTTCTATATGTCTTATAACAATAAAAAATCAGTATCAGTAGGAGTTCTGCACTAGTAGACTAGACAATTTGAATATAAGCCTTTTGCTGAAAACATCTAGTAAAATTTGAAAGCATTGGAGAATGAACAAGGCAGTGAAGAGAATTATCAGGAGAAGATCTTGGATAAGAAAGAGGCCCAGAGAGCAGTTCTATGTTTGGAGCCATTCCCTACGGATCAACTATTAATTTTGGAAGAGGGCAAGAAGCTGAGAAATTGAATAAAGCCTCACAGATTTGAGCACAGTGACCAAGGAGAGAAATCACTAAGAGATCATTATATATTTGGAATTTAAGAAAACACTTTGGTTCTTAAAGAAGATTAATGAAATTGATAAATATTTGCCAAGACTGATCATCTACATACATATATTTGAATATCTATAATACAATGTTACAATTTCTGCCTTAAAGAATTACATCTTTTAAGGAAATTAAGAGAAAAAATATATTTAGTTTTTAATGTTTATCCATCCCCCACCACAGTGGTACCTTTGTTTAAAGCAAATTCTTCATTAAAGCCAAAATAAGGGGTGCCTGGGTGGCTCAGTCAGTTGGATATCTGCCCGAGGTCCTGGGATCAAGCCCCTGCATCAGGGTCCCTGCTCAATGGGGTTTGTCTTTTTGATATTGAATTTTAAGAGCTCTTTATAATTATGAATATTAATCTTTTGTCAATTATATAATTTACAAATATTTTCTCCCATTTTGTGGTTTGTATTTTTGCTCGATTGATAGAGCAATGTCCTCTGATGCATAAAGGTTTTAAGCTTTGATGAAGTCCAATTTATCTATTTTTAACTTGTTTTGCCTGTATTTTTGGTGTCATATCCAAGAAATCATTGCCTATCCTATGTCATGGTGATTTTCCCCTATATTTTTTTCTAAGTATTCTATAGTTTTAGTTCTTACATCTACGTCTTTGATCCTTTTTCAGTTAATTTTTCTTTATTCATTGGATGTGGATACCCAGTTTTCCCACCACCATTTGTCAAAAGACTATCCTTTCGCTTAAATAGTCTTAACATGCTTGTTGCAAATCATTTGGCCAGTGTGTAAGGGTTTCTTTCTGGGCTCTCTGTTTTATTCCATTGTTCTTTATTATGTCTGTCTTTCTGTCAGTACCACATGGTTTTACTGCTGCTTTGTAATATATTTTGAAATCAGAAATTGGGTCCTCCAATTTTGTTCACCGTTTAAAAGACTTTCAGGTATGTTGGTTCTCCTAAGATTTATATGAATTTTAAGATGGGTTTTTCTATTTTTACCAAAAAATGTCATTGGGATTTTGGTAGGGATTACACAGAATCTGTAGACTGTTTTGGGAAGTATTGACATATTGACAATATAAGTCTTCCAATCCACAGACATGGGTTGTTCTCTACTTATTTATGTCTTCTTTAATTTCTTTCAGCAGTATTTTGTAGTTTTCAGTGTACAAGTCTTGCCTTTTTGGTTACATTGATTCCTAAGTATCTGATTCTTTTTGATGCAAATATACAGGGAATTGCTTTCTTAATTTTCTTTTGGATTATCCATTGTAGTGTATAAATATGTCTTCATCAATTTTTTTGGCTCACTATTCCCTGAAGATAATTTCAATCTAGTCTTACTTTTTTAAACTAATAAACATAATTGTTTTATAACCTGTTTCTGATCATTCTAACAAAGTCTCCTGTTGGTTCACATTCATAGTGACCTGTTTCCTTGTGTGCTTGGTTACTTTTCATTGATTTCTGTTTGCTATCCTTGGGAACTTATCTAAGGCAATTCTTTGAGCCCTAAGATAAAGATACCTTCCAACACAGAGGATTTTTAAATTTCTTCCTGGCATTTATGGGCACTAAATCTATAACTAATATATATCAAATTCATAATTTAATGCTTGCTGGACCCCAGACAATATGCCCTAGGTCGTAATCTATATGAGAGTTGCCTTGGGCCACAACTTCTTGGGGATAGGTATTATTCTTTTTCTTTTTCTCCCCTATTCCACTAGCATCAAGACACCCTTCCCTGAATTCCCCTAGACATGAAGTTATCTTTTGTTCCTACTCCTATTAACCTTCCATCGTTTGGTGGACCATACCCCTTTGGTTCCTTTCACCCTGTGATTATACCCAGGACCAAAACACAGACTGCTAATGCCTTCAGGGTAACAGTGACTTTGGAATTGTGGAAATCCATTTATGTGGTTTTCCAATTTCCCTTCAATTTTGGTCTCATAGTTTCTTACTATCAAGTCATCCTTTTGATGCTTTTAAAGAAATGTGTTTTACATGTTAGCCAGCATTTTTACTTGTATGCAGCAGGAGAGTAGTTCACTATCTCAGAAATCCAGCACTACCTTTTTTAAAAAACTCCTTCTGCACTTGACATCCCCTACCATCTTCTCTTTTCTCCTCCATAAAGTTCTTTTTTTTTTAATTTTTATTTATTTATGATAGTCACAGAGAGAAAGAAAGAGGGAGAGACACAGGCAGAGGGAGAAGCAGGCTCCATGCACCGGGAGCCCGACATGGGATTCGATCCCGGGTCTCCAGGATCGCGCCCTGGGCCAAAGGCAGGCGCTAAACCGCTGCGCCACCCAGGGATCCCCATAGTTAAAGTTCTTGAAACAATTATCTACCTAAGCTGTAAGTACTCCCACCTCCCATTAACTCTTCAATCCACTCCCAAGTTGCTTCCAATACTTTCAAAAAATGTTCTAGCTAATGTCACCTATGAGCTCCATGTTGTTCATTTCAGTGGATATTCATTGTATTTGATCTCTTAAGCAGAATGGGAGAGACTTTGTCATTCTTTCTTGTTAAAATGATCCTTCTTGATATTCATGATACCACATTCTTATGGTTTTATTTATCCTTCTCTGTTCTTCCTTAACTGATGTAGGAGTTCATTGCAATGGAATATAACAGTAAATGCTCTACAGTCTATGCTTTCCTTCATTTTTAGAAATTACTATGAAATTTTATCTACTAGAAATAGGTACCAAATCTATTTGTTAAAACTATTATGGCATTTATCATGCCACAAATAGTTACCACTCTCTTTCTCTCCCTCATAGTAAGTTCTTTTAGAAGAAATTGGTAACTAAACATAAACACCGAATAAACTGGCTGTTGAATAAATCAATGAATAAATGGACAAAGGTTAATGTGCCGTTAACTTCACTCTCAATTACATTTTGACCTATTTCTTAAAGAGGAGGCATAAATCCAGACAAATTTGCAATGTTTTTACAGATGGGAGAAAATGTACTTGCTAGGAATCTATAATTGACACACAAAGACTATCCATCAAAAATTACATGTAATTTATGTTCAAACTATCCTAGTAAATTATACAGTATATGCAGTAAAAAATAAATATGTAAAACAAGAAAAAAATCACAGTTTTCATTTGGGCGAGCAGGGGGAAAGCAGCAGTTTCTGAAAGTCAGAAAGTGAGAATTTTACTCTGATAAAAGAAGAAACAGAGGCACAGGCTTCCGGCTAGTAAGGAAGCTTTAGACAGAGGAGCAGCCCTCTAAGGAACACCTGGAAGTCTAGCTGAGCTTTTGCAGTCAGGTGGGAGAAACTCCAGGGACAGCTGGTCTCCCTCAAGACAGATGCAGCTCCTGGGTGTCCGTTCTGATCTTTTTTTAATCTTTAATTTTATTATTATTTTTTAAAGCAGGAGAGCAGAATACTGCAATTGGCTGACACCCGGGCTACCGTCGCTGGCCTGTTTCTCAAGTCAGAAGTAGGGCGGCAGTAAGGCTTCCAGGGCGCAGGTGTGAAACCCGGCCCTCGGCCCTCCGAGCGCTCCCCCCAGGCCCAGCCGAAGTCTTGCGTGTGGATTTGGTGTTCTGGGGGGGGGGGGGGTCAAGTCGGACGGCCCCAAACCTCGACGGAGCCGCACGCAACACTGAGCTCGTACGAGAACAAATGTGGGCTGCGCACCCCCTGGGTGCCCCCCACTCCAGGCCCAGCCGGCGGTTCCCCAGGGCGCCCACCTGCATGGTGCTCCCCTTCGCCCTCGCGAGCCAGCGTCGTCCAGCGGCCGGGGGAGGACGCCTGACCCGCACCCCGAAGTCGGCTTCCAGGGGGAGGCGAGCGGGCCGCGGGCCCAGCGGTTTCCACCGCCCGCGCGGAGCGCGAGGGGCGAACCCGGCCTCGGCCCCGGCACCTGGCGCGGCGCTGTTGCCAGGCAACGCGGAGGCGTGGCCTGGGGGTTGCTGCGGTGCGGCCGCCGCCCGCGGTCCCTTCTAGGGGGTGGCGCACCTGCCGGCGTCCAGGGCAGGAGCTCCTGCTCCGCCCAGCCTTCCCTCCTGTCAGCACGTTGTTTCAGGGCCTCTGGCACCCTTCGACCCCTGAGTCCTGTCTTCACGGAGAAATAACAAAATCCAGGGGAGAGAACCCTCCAGGGGAGGGATGCTTTTTTCTTTTTCTTTCTTTAAGATTTATTTATTTACTTATTTACTTATTTACTTATTTATTTATTTATTTATTTTTAAAGATTTTATTTATTTATTCATGAGAGACACGGAGAGAGAGGCAGGCTCCCTGTGGGGAGCCCGGTGGGGGACCCGATCCCAGGACCCCGGGATCACGCCCTGAGCCAAAGGCAGACGCTCAACCGCTGAGCCACCCAGGTGCCCCTAAGATCTTTAATATATTGGTTCACTTTGAGGTACATTACTTATCAGCGTCCTTGAATTCTCAGGTAATTATACAAATATTTATAGTAAAAAAATATTTACAGTCTCCTTAAACTATTGTGTCACATAAAAATATCTAAAGAGGCCTCCCTTTTTTTTTTTTTTTTTTTTGGTAGGAGTCCCCAATGCGGGACTGGATCCCAATACCCGGATCCCAACACCCAGGGATCAGGACTTAAGCCAAAGGCAGACTCTCAACCACTGAGCCATCCAGGTGTCCCCAGAGGATGGCTTCTTAACCTGGAGCCCATAGCCTATATTTGGATGGATTTTAGGGAATCTCCCACCCAAAGCTCCCCAGTTGTACATGTGTTGTATGTGTACATTTGTTGGTTGGGGGTTTAGGACAGAGCTTTCATCAGATTGTCAAAAAGTGCTCCACTCCCATCTTAAAAACCCACTGCCTTAGAAGATAAGAGCTCTGGCTTTAGGTAGGAAACCTAGACAGTCCGGTTCCTTGGTAGTCAGGTTAAGGAAAGGATGTTTACTGGGAGCTTGCCAGGAACCTGAAGAAAACATTTGATATTATCACCAAGTAAGGTTATACATGGTCACAGAGATATACTGATAGGATTTGGAAAAGAAGAAAAAAAATGTTTTTAGTGACACAATTTTATTTATTTTTTAAAGGTTTTATTTCAGAAAGAGAGTGTGCAAGCATGAGCAGGGGGAGGGGCAGAGGGAGAAGCAGCCTCCCCCCCAGCAGGGAGCCTGATGGGAGGCTTGATCCAAGGGCCCAGAGATCATGACCTGAGCCAAAGGCAGATGCTTAATTAATTGACTGAACCATCCAGGTGTCCCGAGTGACACAATTTTAAACTTGGGTTCAGTGTTGGACCACTTCACGTGTAATGCCCGTTTAATATTTAATACAAATCTTGTACTCCTGGCAACCTATATACTTTGTTGTGTTGGTATATAGAATATTAACTAGCTTCTTAAATATAAAATTTTTAAACATCCCACAATTTTTGTAAACATGTTTTGGTCATTGTCGTCATCGTCCTCCTCCTCCTCCTCCTCCTCCTCCTCCTCCTCCTCCTCCTCCTCCTCCTCCTCCTCCTTCTTCTTCTTCTTCTTCTTCTTCTTCTTCTTCTTCTTCTTCTTCCTTCTTCTCCTTCTCCCTCTTCTCCTCCTTCTCCTCCTCCTCCTCCTCCTCCTCCTCCTCCTCCTTCTTCTTCTTCTTCTTCTTCTTCTTCTTCTTCTTTTTTCTTCTTTTTAATATCCTGGCAACCCTGAAAAATGTACATGACCTAAGACTCTCTGTATTTCTGAGAAGCCCTGGAAATTACTTCTTAAATTAATATTTGACTCCTTTTTATTTTGACAATCTAAAACCCAAGCTAGTTGAATTACTACTGTGTGTAGCACTAGATAATGTTGCCCTATGTATTTGTGGCTTTAGAGCAGGAGGCCCTCAATCCTCTCAAGCCCCCCATCTTTCAAAGCAATTCATGTTTTAAATAATTTTTTTTTTGGTCTTCTTCTGCTCCTTCTTATGTTCTTTGTGCAGATTGACAAGAAGTGAAATTCAGGGATTTTGTTAGTAAAAGGCATAATTTAAGCTATAATTATTGGTTGGCATCAGTAAGATAAAGCTTTGTGAGGTACTCTACCCTGAAGAATTTAAGACCCAAACCTACTCATTCTAGAGCCAACCTCCTCTAATCAGCCAGCCTGCTTGCTGGTGGAGATTATCCAGGAAGGGCATCAGAAGGGAAAAACGTCGGGGAACCTGAAGGGAGATGATCTCAGTATCCATCTGAGATTAATTCTGTGTCCAATAAACACTGATTTGATGTAAAAAGTTTTCCAAGTGTGTTCATGAGATTTTCTTTCTGGTAATGGACGAGACTAGTTGCCTTTCAGATGTTGTTCAGTGAAATGACTTATTTTAAGATAAATTGAACACTTCTAGTTGGTAGAAAAAGCTAACCCCTTGATATGTTTGTAGCAGTTGGACATGTCTTTTATGGTAGATAAATCAGAACTTGCTTATTGGACTATTTGGATGGATCATGGCCGAAGGTAGTTAGCTACTGGACCCTATGGTATTCATAAGAGCTGGTGATTTTGTCACTGATGAAATCCAAATAGGGTGAACTAAAATATTTTTATTAAAGGCACTCAGAAGAGAGTTCAGTTTTAATAAACTATTTTAGTTAGACTTTGGAGCCTGTGTGTCAGTATGGTTGATCCTGAACAACACAGGGGTTAAGGGGATCCCCTACACAGTCAAAATTTCCCAAACTTAACTGCTAATAGCCCATGATTGATCAGAAGCTTTACCAATAACATAGTTGATGAGCACATATTTTGTATTTTATGTGTGTTATACGCTGTATTCTTACAATAAGGTAAGCTAAAAAGAATAAAATGTTATTTAAAAAATAACAAGAAGAAATAAAGGTGCCTGGGTGGCTCAGTCAGTTGAGTGTTCCTTCAATTCTTGATTTTGGCTCAGGTCATGATCTTGTGGTTATGGGTTTGAGGCCCAACTTGGCTCCCTACTCAGCAGGGAATCTGCTTGAGATTCTCTCTCTCCCTCTGCCCCTGTCCCTGATTGTGTGTGTGTGCTCTCTCTCTGAAAATACATAAATAACACAAATAAAATATTTTTTAAAAAAATAAGAGAAAATACATTTACAGTGCTGTACTGTATTTTTTGAAAAAAGTTCATGTATAAGTGAATCTTGCAGTTCAAACCTGTGTTGTTCAAGGGTCAACTGTATTGTCGAAAGCTACAGGGATCTAAGGAACATCATTATTTACAGCTTTATTACATAAGAAAAAATATTTTAAGATGCTTTTAAAACCATCAACAAATTAAGCATTTATAATCTCAACCGGCTTTTATTGGGAATGTTTACAACACATGGATTGTCAAACATGGTAAGTTTAGCAAGGATCGTTTCTGAGAAGAAAACAGAATGTCAACATTTTGCATTCCCTGGTGCCGCTTCTGCAGAAAATAGTTGGTATCCTGTATAAAAAGAAAAATTAAAGTTAGAGTCAAGTGTAAGTAAGTATGTGAAGGTTCATATGTAATGTTGGTATATAGACATTCCTATAAATATTTCTCATGTATGATAAAACTGACATCAGAGAGATTTCTAGGCTATTCTTCAGTCTGTATATTTTCAGCTATTCATCTCTCCCCGATAGAACACTTATTTTATATGTCCATATTTTCCAAAAATTTACAGTATTTAACTATATAAAAGTGGTTTCCTAGAATTCATTGATGCCAATAAGATCTATGAATAAAATATTTCAAAAGTTGCAGTTACTCCTCATGTATTTATTTCCTTTTATATCTGCAATTAAATCAACCTATTTTATGTCTAACCATTTTCCAAGTAAATATAAGTCATCAGGACAGAGTAAGACCTCAGATAATCAGATGAGAAAAACAAAGAAAAAAATGATTATTGAACCATTTCACTATTGACAAAATAAAATGAAATCCTGAGTTAGTCTGTGTAAGCCTCAATCTTGAAAACAATCCAAATAAAGATATTTCCCTCAATCAGAGAGAAAGTTTTACTAAATTAACAAAGTCACAGATTAAATTCCATTTCACATTTGTGAGCACTCTACCACTTGGTTTGGTGTTACAAGCACAGACATTTTTTTCATCTAGTGTTAAGCTGTTTTTTGTCCACTTTTGTAAATGTCTCTACATTTGTAATAGTATAAAAGATAGCTTCTTTTCCATTGTCCTTCTGTTCTTAGTTCCTCCTAATGTTGAACCATCCTGAGCCGTTGGAACAAACTTCACTTCTATGGAGTTACGTAATTTTAAAAATACGCTGCTGAATACAATTTATTGTTTCTTTAAAATCTTTGCATTGATATTTATGAACAGAATTGACCTACAGTTTCCTTTCTTATATCACTTTTATAAGGTTTTGGTATTAGTATTTTCTGGCTTCATAACAAATACTTTGAGATTTTCTTCCATCTCTGAGCTGTAAAAATTCAGTCTATTGGTCTAATACTTTTGGGGGGGGTTCTAGGTAATGTTTTCCTTTTTTTTGTTTCCCATGGCCATTATTCTATTCAGAGGATTCTTTTTTTTTATTTCTTCTGATGTCCATTTTGGTAGTACCTACTTTACTAGACAATCCTCCATTTTATCCAGATTTTCAAACTGATAAACACAGAGATTTGCAAAGTACTGTCTTAGGATTTCCATTTTTTCTATATCTGTTTTAATTTCCTTATTTTCATTTGTATGTTTATATATTTTTATGTTTAAATATATGTATTCAAACATATATATGTGTGTTTGTATATCTCTTTTTTTCTTAATTAGGGTAGGCTAATTATGTTATGTTATTTTATTTTCCATTATCCTTTTGTTCTCATTTCCTCCTAATGTTGAACCATTTATTTATTATCTCTTTATTTTCTAGATGTTGTATAATTTTTGGTATTTTCTTCATTAGTTAGAAATAGTGCTCTTTGATTTTTGTTTCTATGAGAAAATACTAAGAATTTTAATATTCTTAAGCTAACTATGTATTTAAGGGTTGAGGTAGTGATATGAAAAAAATCTACAAAAATATGTTAAGCATAGAGTCTGCATTTATGATCATATAACATTAATAGAATATACTCTTATTTGTGTGGTATAGATTTATCAATCTGCATTTGGGGTTCTAGACATATATTTCAAAATTCACAGCCCAATAAGATATCAGGATTAACATATTATTAAATATGTAGGGCCAGCCATACATCTACTATATCTCCAGCCTTGCTGTGGAAACTCTGTGAGTCCCAAAGTAGAAGTCATGTTCTCATATCTTCCCACATTTTCTTAGTTCTTTAGATGTGGTAAACCACAGCTCTTATAAGGAATCTTCAAATACAGGTTACTGGGATCCCTGGGTGGCGCAGCGGTTTGGCGCCTGCGTTTGGCCCAGGGCGCGATCCTGGAGACCCGGGATCGAGTCCCACATCGGGCTCCCAGTGCATGGAGCTGCTTCTCCCTCTGCCTATGTCTCTGCCTCTCTCTCTCTCTCTCTCTCTCTCTCTCCTCTCTGTGACAATCATAAAACAAACAAACAAACAAAAAACAAATACAGGTTACTTGGGAGGCAGAAATACATTCAATCTGTAAGTTCTAGCCCATTATTGTGGACACTGATTACCATGAGAAGGACACAATCCCTGACATATTACTTGCACAATAAATGATAAGGCAGGCCAATGTCTATAAAACCAATGGGACTCTTGTGGCATTGTCTGAGGAACACATGACATGGGCAAGGCAAATCTGGCTCTAAAATACTGATGTTTTCCATCATATAAGCCCCTCACTGCCCCTATAATGGTAATATGTATAGATAATATTAATGTACACAGGCAATCAAGTGATAGGAATATACTGAGTTTAGTTTAATTTGTGAATATCTGAAAATGACAGACATTTTCAAACTGGATTGAATTGGGAAGTACATACCATTTTAAATGTAACCTTCTGACCTCCTTCCGTTGCGTGGCTAGAAAATAATAAATAAGAAATAAATCAGGATTAATGAAATTAATTTTCATACAAAGCAACCTAATGATTTCAATGGGAGTTATTATTTCTTCTTTTATCTAGTTGTGCTCTTCCATCCATTCTTCAACTTGTTAGAATTAGTTTCCAAAATGCATATTTTAACATAGGGCTCTTCTTAGCCAAACAATAAAGTTGAAATTCGTTAGTTAACTATTTCACTGGCTAATTCCTGCTGATTCTTCAAATTCAACCCTTAAAACCTTTTCTGGACCTCTTCCACTCTCTGGCCTGAGCTCAGTGCCTTTCTTTTAGAAACCACAGCCCCTGGTTTGAGGGTATATGTAACGCAGTATTTTGTATTTGTTTATTTATGTTTTCTGCTTTAAGCTGTGAACTCTTAGAACCTAAGAATGGAATCCTATCTATCTGTATACTTCTAGCCTTTGCAACACTGCCCAGCACCCAGTAGAGATTAAAAAAAATAGTTGCTAAATGAATGAATAAAAAATTTCTGGTAATATAGTACAGATACAAACATTTTAGAAAGTGAGGCTGCTTAGAAAGAAACACATTTTGTACACAATTTGGACATATAAAATGCGAAATGTAATTACAAAGTTTTGTCTACTTACAGCCTCTAGTATAGTTGATTCTTTTCCTTTTAAAAACTTATGAAAATAGTCATAACTCTTCCAGTCTCCTGAAGCAAATATTTAGTAAATGATTCTTTGGAACTTAAAGAGTAATGCATCTTTAAGACATTCATTACCTGCACATGAAATTTCATAGAACTAAAGTGTTTACTAGGTGAATGTCATTTGGGGCATTTACAAACATGAGTGGATTAGAGAAAAGGTCAGAGATACCGTAATATTAAAACAATACGGTGGATGAAAAAGTGAATCTCTGACTCTATATCTATAAACAAACTTAAATATGTACAAAAAAACTTAAAAACTTCATGTACATAAATGCACAGAGTATTTTTCAATTTTAACATTGAGTGATTTTTTAAAAATACAGGACTTGCATACCCTGAACAAAAACTGTCTTCGAACTTGGCTTGCGATAGGACCTTGGAATTCTTCCTGGAAGAGAAAATGAAGCCATTGCAAATCAACTAACAGTAAAAATAAGTGCAAATTCTTAGTGAATTCTTAGAGAAGCTCCAAGATTTTCAACTACCATAATTAAACAAGGAAGGAAAAAAAAAAAAAACAAGGAAGGAATCAAGGACTTGAGTATACTATTCCCATCAATGAGTAATCTTTGAATGTATACTTGAGGAATTTTCACCCAGGAGTATCACAAGAATGTTGTATTTTAAAATAATTTCCTAGGGGCATCTGGCTGGCTCAGTCGGTGGAGAATGCAACTCTTGATCTCAGAGTCATTGAGTTTGAGTGCCATTTTGGGGGTAGAGATTACTTAAAAATTTTTTTTAAATAAAATAATAAAATAATTTCCTTATCAACATAACAGCATCTAGGAATTTTGTCAGTTGTATGTATATTCATTAGTAAGTAGAATGAAAACGACAGTTCATAGATTAACTAGACTTAAAATCTCCTCTCAGCATTTTGTTACAATGAAATAGTTTCTTTAAAATACATATTGTATGTGCTAACACATGAACAGGGAAAAATATAGAATTGTGTCAGAGCTAAGATACACTATATTTCTATAGGAATCAAAATTGAAATTGAAGGACAACTTTGGTAACCTATATTTATTCAATGAGACTTGAGTTGATATTCCCAATATAATCATATTCACAGAAATAATAATGAAAAAAATACCAAATAAGAACAAACCAATTTTTCATAGTAGGTATATTTTGAAGTGCTTCTTTTCTTGTAAAATATTTCATTTTAAATAATGGAAAAGATTTAACATTTTATGGTTTCCATAAAATAGGTTCTTGTAGTTTCCTATTTTCAACAACTACTTCTTATAGAAATATCAGAATGGCAATCACTATGAAATTTGTCATTAAGGCCTTTTAAAATTATTCCATAAGTATACTCATATTTTTTTAATTCTAAGAATTGGCTCTGACATCCATTAAAATTCTGAAATCCCATATTAATTTGGGGTGCCTGGTTGGCTCAGTTGGAAGACTATGTGACTCCTGATCTCAGGATCATGAGTTCAAGCCTCACAATGGGTATAGAGATTATCTAAATAAACAAATAAACCTTAAAAAAAAAAAACCCTTTGAAATCTTTGCCTTATAACAAACATATCTTAAATTCTCAATATTTTGTATCTACTTCTCATCCTGACTATACAGTCCCCAAATTACTTAATATTTTATTCTTAATTATTTTAAAGATTTTATTTATTTATTTGAGATAAAGTGAGCAAAAGTGAGAGACAAAGAGAGCACGAGTAGGGGGAGGGGGGCAGGGGGAGAGGGGGAAACAGGCTCTTCACGGAGCAGAGAGCCCAATGCAGGGCTCACTACCAGGACCCCAGGATCATGACCTGAGCTGAAGGCAGACACTTAACTGACTGAGCCCCTATTTAATATTTTAAAATGTACACATGGACACTATATATTTCTATGCTTATGTAAGAAAAGTTATGTGTGTTATATTAAACAGGAAAAAAAAAGGGCAGGGAAAAATGTAACTTAAATAATGTCAAATTTTAAAACTTATAAGCCCTAAACATACAGATCCTTTTAGCCTTATTGGAGAAAGAATTTGGGAAGTAGAGATAAAAAAGATATGGAATGGAAGTAAGGATGTCTAGCAAACAACATTTAAGAAAAAGTGTTCGAATGCACTAAGATCTGAAAACTCATTTTCTTTAAGAATACAAAACATGAGGATCCCTGGGTGGCGCAGCAGTTTGGCGCCTGCCTTTGGCCCAGGGCACGATCCTGGAGACCCGGGATCGAATCCCACGTCGGGCTCCCTGCATGGAGCCTGCTTCTCCCTCTGCCTGTGTCTCTGCCTCTCTCTCTCTCTCTATCATAAATAATAAATAAATAAATAAATAAAAACCAAATTAAGAATACAAAACATTTCACTATCAAAAATCTGTTTTAAAATTAGGTAACTTAGGCCCAGCAAAGCTAACACTCTATTGTAATTTTTTCTATGCATCAGTTCCTATGAAACTTGGCTTGTTGAAAAAGACTTTTTGGAGTTAATTGTTCAACAGGATGTATTGCTAAGTCAGAGGTCACATATTCAGCTAGTTCTCTGAAAATAAAGTCTCACTCAAGGTGGAACATTCAGACAAAGTATCACTGGCCATAATACTGAGGGTTTAGCTCTGGCAAACAATGACACTGAAGTGATATAGTAAACTAATAATTTGTAGGTGTATTTTAAGAAACTAGATCTTTAAATTGAAATATTATACTGTTTATGAGTCAAGCAGTCTTCAGAAAGTAAAAGTTAATTCAAACAAGCATATATTACTTCTAGGAAGTTTGTTGACAATGGATTTGATTTTTTTTTCATACTGGAAATCCTAAATTTTAAGAGACTACCACAGTTCTTATATTTCTTTTCTTTTCTTTTCTTTTTTTTAAGATTTTATTTATAAATAAGAGACACAGAGAGGCAGAGACATAGGCAGAGGGAGAAGGAGGCTCCCTAGGGGGAGCCTGATATGGGATTTGATTCTAGGACCCTGGGACCACAACCGGAGCCAAAGGCAGATGCTCAACCACTGAGCCACCCAGGTGCCCATCCTCTTATATTTCTTATTCAAGTAGGCAGCAGATTTTGTCTTCCCTGATGGAAGCTTAGTTTAAGAATGTGAAGAATTTAGGAAGGAAATAGTGACCATAAAAATAAATTTTGAGGAATTTATTTGCCTATAAACCATATGCATTTTTAAAAGTACTTGAGGACTTTTGGTAGTATTTTAAGAACAAAATTAACATGGTACTTAAATTAAGGGAAAAATCTAACAATAAAATAATAGAAGTGAGGCGCCTGGCTGGCTCAATTGGTAGAGTATGCAATTCTTGATTTCAGGGTTGTAAGTTCTTGAGCCCCATGTTGAGTGTGGAGGTTACCTAAATGCCTCTGAAGAAATCATAGAAGTATCCCAGATTAGACAATAAAAAGACAGAAAAAAAAATATTTGCCCAGACTAGAAGTCAGAAAACTGTGCTGTAATCTCTAATCTCACTTACTAGCACAATCTTGGGAAACATCTCTATTCTGAGTTGTTTTCCTTTTAGTAACCTGGAGACACCAATACGTGTATAAATCCTAACAGAGTTGCCAAAAGAATAAACTGAGGTAATAGAAGACTTAAAACTATAAATGCATGACAATAATGTAAGGCATTCACTTAAAAGTAATACCTAGAAACTTTCATCATTGAAAGAGTTAAACATTTTTTTTAAATGACAATAAAGACTCCACAATCTCTAGCCAAAAACATGTTAAAACTCCATTGTATTCCTCTTCAACGTAGATACTGGATTTGGGCCGTATTTTTGTTTAATTGTGCAAAACCCCAAATGCCTGCATTTAGTTTCTCATATATTTATCAGACATATGTATATATAGTCTGATATATATACTTCATGAGCCTTACTCCTGCTAACATTTTAATACTTGGATAGAAAGCTTACCATCCTAGCCAACTGCCAACCTGTGTGGTGACGGGCGGTAAATTGTCCTTCATCTTTTCTCCAGGCCCTACCTAAGGACTGGGCCCGCTGCCCTGTCCTTTCCTTAAACTAAGCATAGGCCTCACTGGGAGGGCCACGACCCTTGGAAGGGAATGTCACCCCAGCTTCCCTCAACTGCCCCCAGCTTGAATCCAAAGGGACAGAAATATGGGGAGGAGGCATAGTGTTCCTCAGGGAAAACACTTCCGCAAACACATGCTCTTCCACAGGGTGTTTATGTCGGGCTTATCCTGAAAAAGAGCGTCTTATAAATCCCCAGCACTGGGAATTAACGGCCCCACAGAGAGTGGCAAGGCAAGCATGCAGTTTGTGTTACATACGTCCAGTCTGAATCTCTTCATTCTTCTCTCATGCAGTTGAGGGACAAGCTGCAGTAACGGATGCAGGACAGACGACTGAGAGACATGAATACACACACGTGATGAGCACAGAAGCTTCTCAGCATTGGGCATAAAGACGGTCTCCTATTTGTTTTAGTTTTGGTTTTGGTTTGACCCACTCTACTTGCTCCAGCCCCCAAAAAAGGACAAGAAGGATGTGTTATGTAAGGGAGCCCTTTGAGAGCACTCCAAAGAAAGTGGGGACTAAGCCATGAGACTGAATAAAATGTGGTAGCTCCGCACTAGGCTCCTTGTCATTATGCTGAAGAAACACTTTTCTTAGGGCCTCGGCTCCATCAGCAGCTGCCGGCGAGGAAATCATCCGCCTGCATCTCCGAGAGGCAAAAAGCTGCTGCTTCCAGACTTATGCAAAACGGTGTGGACAGACGAAGCCAACTCTGTGAGGATCGGTTTTCCACTACGAAAATGTTTGTCTGGGACATTATCCCCGTACACACATCTAGTAGTCTCCTTCATAGAATATGTATTTTGTTTAAAACTGAACGTATGGAACAAGACAACAGGGGACACAAAAAAGTGACAAATGTGTCATCGATAGTGAAAAAAATGTGACTTAGGTATATCTTCTCAAAATGTAAAGATGTCAAGCAGAAGAAAATGAAAGTACACTTGAGACATGTGGTTACCTGATACAGTTTCATTTTAAAGGCAGGCCTTGAACTGAACTTTCTCACAGATATTTAATTCATTTATCAAATGGATTACTTTAAGCCTTATGCAACGGTTATCTGTTAACCAGTTCAATTTGTATCTGGTTTAAAGCCAGTATAACCCACCGTGCATCTCCTCAGACATAAGAATATTCACCAGGATAAACATTTAAAAACTGACTTTAGATCACAGTTCTCTTTTCGCAGGTACACACATGTTTAAAATACACTATGCTCCTCATTCCCTAAACTGGTCCATGGAAGTGACTCACAAGCAGAGAAGGAATCCTACAGTCGAATAATTACTAAGCATTCCAGATTGAAGCACCAGAATAGCATTTTTTAAAATCCATTCATATAAAAAGAAAAACTACCACTAAAACCACACAATTTCGAAGTAAACTGAATTCACGTTACTGGTGTCTGGCTAATCTTAGTAAATTCTCACATTAAAAGCCTAATTACAAATAAGGAGATCTGAGGAATAGAAGTGGATATTTCTAGTTATATTTAATGACATTTTTGGCAGTCATCTTTTAAAATCATTCTTAAAATGACTTTGGATAAATCTGGTTTTTTTTCCTTGTACTAATTGGTATCTAAAACAGGATATTTTACTTGATCATATGCTTTATTTTTTTTTGTACCTAGAATGTAAATTTCATGACAGGAGGGATTTCTTTTTTGAATTTTCTATTTTATTTACTGCTATATTTCTAGTACCTAGAATTGTGCTTGGCACATAATAGATACTCGGTAAATAATTGTTGAATGAATGAATAAACTTAATGTACGTGTAGCTAGGAAGATATAAAAGAAATTAAACGTGTAATAAATATTGAATTCCATTTGTTTATCCACATATAAACTTTCAAAGAAAAAAACATGAATCCTGATCTAGCTGTATTAGGTAAACTGCAAAAACAGATTGAAGAAAAATACTAGTGATTTCTAATAAGAAGTAATTCTACAACTTACCACAACATTTGAATTGCCCAACTTCCGTGTCTTCGAATAATGAAATAAAAACTGTAAAAAAAAAAGTAGTGAGATTTACTATAGGTGGCTATTGGTTTCTTTTACTATTTTTTTAGTATATATATTTATGGAAATCACCTTACCCTTTTGGTATTATCTTTTTCATCAGTTTCCTGTTGGAAAAAAGAGAAAAATCATATTATATATAACATATTATAAAATTATAATATATAATATAAAAACACTATCTTACCATATTATTATAGTGTATTATAATCATATACTATAGTATATGTAGGGTAAAATTTATAATATTATAAATTATATATAATTTTTAAAAACATGTGACACATATGTTATATATAAAATAGAAGACTGAAATTGGTTAGGCACATATTGCTCTAAAAATAAATGGGAAATTAAATATTGTTTATAAGTAAATAAATAATAAAATTGGAAACATCCTAATAGTTCAACAGTGGTAAAATGGGAAATTAATTTTCTTTTCTTTCTTTTTTAGGGAGCATGAGGAGGGGGCAGGACGGGCAGAGGGTGAGAGAGAATCTTAAGCAGGCTCTACACCCAGCGCAGAGCCCAACTAGGGGCTTGATCCCCTGACCCTGAGATCATGACCTGAGCTGAAATCAAGAGTCTGACACTTAACCAACTGAGCCACCCAGGTGCCCCAGTAAGAATATAATTTTCACAGTGGTGTTGACAATATAGTTTGCTTTTTTCATATTTTTAACGTCCTCCTCTCTAACAAAGCACAATGTTCTAACCTCTAAGCTGAGACACATCTGTTCTCCAATTATAGTATAAGTTAGGAAGAGAAAAAGCCAAAATGACTCCAAGTTTCTCTCATCAGAACTAGAACACATCTTATGAGGAAGGCATATAATTTTCTAATTAGATGACTGTAAACTCCGTTATGGTTGACACTGAATTCCCAGACAACTGAGAAGCTGAAGTATCTGTTTCTTATCCCAAATTGACTTACGATCTCCTAGCTCTTCATGACATGCTTCCTAAATGGGGCATATTTTCTTCCGGAAGGAATTCCCAGGCATCACTGGGCAATTTTTAATTTTTTTATTTTTGCCTACAAATAAAACACTATTTCAGCCTTACCTGGGGCTTTGGTAGAGTCCCCATAATCGTGATGCAAAGCTCCTCCAATGCATTGGGTGCCTAGTGAAAAGAAGAAGGTTTATAGGCCCAGCTTCTGCTTTTACATTTGTGTAGAAGATAGAACCGCTGAATGTTAGAAGTGCAAGGATATTCCAAATGCCCAGAATAGAATCCTTCTTGTGTCCCATTAAAACTCTGCAGGAATCCCTTGGTTTCTCCCATGACAAAAACTTGGCTCCTACAAGTAAAACCCTCCTTCCAAGCAGTGGGGGAGAATGTTATACACTGTACATATGCAAGGATTCAGGCTTGCACTGTGGTCCAGATACAGATTCTCAGGGCTTGCTAAGTGTCCATGAAATTCTATGACTGAGAGAAAGGAGAACGGTGCCAAAAAGAGGGATTATTCTTCCCAGCTTGTAGCAAAGTCTGAATCTACGTGCCAAAGCTGTGAGCCTCGCTGAATATTACTCATTATTGACTAATTTGAAAATCCTGCAATTGCTCACAAACAATGGGAGTTCGGGGGAAGAAGGCGCATATGGTGCACCTCATCTGAGTTACCACCCTGCCAGGCTGCTGACTGCACACCCCGGGATCAGGTTTTACAAAGCATCTGAGCGCAGAAAAATAGGGCAGGGCTCCCTGTGGTTAGGAGCCAGCTGGGTGTGGTGAGGAGCAACACAAATGGACAAGCAGGGGCGAAACCTGCTTTGCACAGAACTCAGCACACTAGTACCATGAACAATTGATTACTTAATAAATGCACATTAGAAGCGCTGAGGAGCTGGAAAGGGGCTGGGGGGAACAATATAATTAGCAGATAAAAACCCAGGCTATGGAGCTGAGCAGCCTGCAACCCTAAAGCACCGCAAGTTCCATTTCTGCTCCTCAGCTGTGTCATCTTGGGCTGGTTACCTAACGTCTCTAAGCTTCAGTTTCTTCAGCTATAAATTGGGGATGACAACATCGCTGCAGAGAGTTCTTGGAAGGATTAAACGTAGGTAGAGCTCTTAGCACAGTGCCAGGTACATAGCAATTAGTTAACAATAATAGCCTGAAAGAATGTGTGGCCTGTAAAGCTGGATTTACAACTGTAGTTACTCCTAATTTAGAAGACGTGCCATAAAGGATTGTTTGGGGGCCACCGATATTCTCACCCTAGAGGTCTGCTTTGTTCTCTTCCATTTGTTTGCCTGCCATGCAGACTGTGGGGATATTTAGGAATAAGATGAAATGGTTCACATTTACGAAGTGCTTCAATATACTGCAAAAACACTTCCATACACCTAATTCATATTCTGTCCTTAAAACACAGCTGTGAGAGACACAGGACAGCAAGAGTTCTTCTCGTGTGTAAAGGGAGTGAGGTTCTAAAAGACCGTGGGTTGCTCGATACCACATGTGGCTCGTAGTTGGTCCAGTGTGGCCTGGGAGCTCGGCCATCTGACCTGCAGGCATTCGTGGGTTTCCCTGGCATTGACTGTTAAGCCTATGGCTGGGGGTTGGATGAGGGAAAGAGTACCACTGGTCCGTTCCTTCCCACTTTTTCCCTTCAGGGTTGGGTACATAGGTCACCCCATAAAAATCTGGAAACACATTCCTGAAGCCTCCTTTTATGGCCTATCTAGAAATGCTGTAAGACACAAAACAATAAAAAGAAAATATCTAGTGATGTCATGTGTCTCTTAACACGCAGAAGAATAAATTCAGTATCTCCTGAGAACGTAGTTTTGAAGCCAGATGAGGCTTGGCAACAAGACTGAAGTTTGACGGAAAAAAGTTTCAAAACAAATTGCATTTTCTCCGGCCACTCTTCTCATAAAGCCATTATTCTCTGAGCTACCACTATTCTTCAAGGATTTTTCTCTCACTAGGTTTTTAAGATTTTATTTTTTATTTGTGGACCTTGAAGATCCCTTCTTTTCTATTTGGTTAAAAGTGTTCTGAAGCCCCATTCAGATAATCACATGAATAATAAAATTATAGTTCATGCAAAAAGTAGTGAATTTTAAAAATTGTATCAGCAAACATAAACAATTCCATGGTAAATTTATGAAGCTCTCATCCAAAGGTGCACAGTCTCCAAATCCAGTAAAAGCTTCATTTAGCTTCCTGGTGTCTAGGGCGTGTTTTAAATTCATCCTTTTAGTACTGAAGACATAAAATGATTCTGAGGGTGTTCCTGAATTTAAAATCAATGCAGAAGCTTACACACTGATTAACATCCAGCCCATGTCATATATCCATCAGTGCTCCTCGAGCAATTTGAAATGTCATTCATAAATGTCATGTAGTGTGATCCTGGTCTTGCTTTTCCATCTAATGCCACTAGCTCCCTGCACATACTCGTCTGCAGACTGGGGAATGGGTTGAGGCAGGAGAAAACAGCCACTGCACAAGGCTGCTTCTCTATATGATGGCACTCTGGAAGGACACTATGACCTTGGCATAGCATGGCACCTCAGCCAGACCACAGAGGGGTTATGCCCCAGGCACACCACTGATTGCTCTGAAAGAACTTGAGCCAAGATCCTCTCCTGAGAATCTCCTCTGCATCCGGGACACTAGTGATACTGGTGAAGAAAGGCAACACTCTGAAGTTACCTGGGAAATAGAGCTGCAGACAGAAAGCAGCAGCACCCAGTTGAGATGGTGTAAGGAGGACGCGCGTATTTTCAGCTCCTCCCACTTCCACCTACAGGAGCTGGACTCGCACTCCTCACTCCCCAACCCTCTCTGAACCCCTGCCTGTGGGAAGAGGACAGGCTCACCTGATGGATGACTGGGAGGAGGAAACTGGGAATGCTCCATTCAGCCCTTTCTTCCCAGGGAACCAGCTTTCTGTCTGGCTGTTCTTGTCGGGTCTCTGCCCGGTGCCAGAAAACCTGACTGGCGGGGAGGCTTTGAGTCACTGTGCAACCCCAGTTTCATTCTGGGAGTAGTTTTAGCAGACACACTTGGCATCAGATCGAAGGCCACATTTATAAATTGACTTTTCAGTTACAATGATACTTGATCTCTGAGTCTGACTCCATGTTTCTCTCTCCATGGGTTTCAAACTCAATTGAGGGACGGGATATTAGCCTCCAAATGCAGCAACAGACACATTATTTTTAATCTAACACAGAATTTGATTTTGAAATTAGCATTTTCATTTCCAAAATATGTGCATATTACCTGCAAATCTATTTCACTTAGAGATAAAGGCCCCAGCATGACCTTACAACATAAACTCATAGCACCGATTATTACCTGCAGATGATGTAATCATTTCTAATGTGTTGACATGTTTTAATGAGTCCATAAAGTAATGACAGGTCCACAGGGAGAAATGGAGCGACACCTACTTAAGTCACTACAAAACACCGCCAACTGGAATTACCTGAGGCTGAGAGTCAAGGGACAGGAAAGCGGAACACGCATCCCTTATCTGTAGAAAATAAAAAAATGCCAGTTACAATTCGGAAACAGAAAGAATGGCCTCAAAATCAAGGAGCACCCTGTTATCATGTGGTTCTTTATGACATAAATCGAATCACATAATCTAAGTTAACATGATAATAGCATAAGTGCAAAACTGGTAAGTAGCACACAGGAAAAATTATTATTTTTTTTAGGAAAAATTCTTTTTTTTAACTTATGATAGTCACAGAGAGAGAGAGAGAGGCAGAGACACAGGCGGAGGGAGAAGCAGGCTCCATGCACGGGGAGCCCGATGTGGGATTCGATCCCGGGTCTCCAGGATCACGCCCTGGGCCAAAGGCAGGTGCCAAACCGCTGCGCCACCCAGGGATCCCTTAGGAAAAATTCTTAATCAGTGGCAGTCTATCAGTTCCCCAGCAAGGAACCAGCATTAGGAAAAGGTTCTATTTCAGTGAAGGTTTACTGGGGAATCAATAAAGAGCCACACTCTTTACATTTGTAAGCTTTCCCTCCAGCCTGAATTCTGTGATGTTGAGTGAGGGGGGCCACTTAAGAGCCTTGCCAGATTCCCCACATTTGTAAGTTTTCTCCCCAGTTTACATTGTCTTCCGTCTATTTAGACTTGACGACTGACTCAAGACTTTCCCAGATTTATTACATCTACATGGGTTTTTCCAATATGAATTCTCTGACCGGAGGAAAAAGCTTTCTTACATTCATTACATGTCTAAAGATTCTCTCCAATATGAACACTCGTACGTATAAAAACATCCGAGCTTTCAGAAAAGACCTTCACACATTTATTTTATTTATAACAGTTCTCTGGAAAGTGAGTCCTCAGATGTTTATTACCATTTGAGTCTTGCTTAAACTTTTTCTCAGGTTCACTGCATTGATCTATTCTCTTTCCATTACAAAGGCCTCTGGTAGGTTTTTAAATTTTTAAATTTAAATTCAATTTAATTAACATATAATGTATTATTAGTTTCAGAAGTAGAATTCAGAGATTCATCAGTTGCATATGACACCCAGTGCTCATCACATCACGTGTCCTCTTTCATGCCCAACCCGTTACCCTATTCCCCACTCTTCTCCCTTCCATAGGTCCTCAGTTTGTTTCCTAGAGTTAGGAGTCTCTTCTGGTTTGCTTCCTTCTCTGTTTCCCTCTTATTTTATTTTTCCTTCCCTTCCCCTACAGGCTTGTAGTTTTTTTATGTTTGACTCCTCTGTAAAGGCCTTTCTAATTTTACTACACATGTAAAGGTCTTCCCGATGATCGATACTGATACTTTTTTTTTTATACTGATACTTATTGAGCACTACGGATGGTTAAGTATCACCCCACATTTGTCAAGTTTATAGATTTCTGAATTCTGTGATGTTGAGTAAGGCTTGATTGCCAGTTAAAGAATGTGGCAAGCTTTTATTTATTTTTTATATCAGTATTTTTCTCAGAACACCTTTTAAAAAAATTTTTATTTATTTATTAATGAGAGACACAGAGAGAGAGGCAGAGACATAGACAGAGGGAGAAGCAGGCTCCTTGCAGGACCTGAGATCACACCCAGAGCAGAATGCAGATGCTCAATCGCTGAGTCACCCAGGCATCCCTGTGGCAAGCTTTTCAATGATGCTAATCCCTGACTCATTATCAGAGAATTTATATTGGAGATAAATTTTACAAAGAATTTGGAAGCCCTTTATTCAGTGCTGAAACCTTATCAATATCATGGAATTCATACTGAAGAGAAACTTTGTCAATGTAAAGAATATGGTAAATTCTTTAAGGACTTCTCAACCCTTACTCATCATTACAGAGTTCACACTGAGGGGAAACCTCACGAATATAAAGAATGTGGCAAGTCTCTCACTGGAGCTCACAACTTACTCATCATCATAGATATCATGCAGGAGAGAAACCATAACATGTCAAGAAAGTGGTAAAGCCTTTAACTGGAATTCAATCATTACTCAATATCCCCAAAGTCACACTAGATTCGAACCCTAGAAATGTAATGAAAGGGGAAAGACCTTTGTTTAAAAAAAAATACACCTTAGAAAACACCAGGGAGTGCATAAAGGAAAATAACTTTACAGACATAAAAATTTAGAAAAGTATGTCATGAAACATCAAATGTCAGTAAATGTCACAATTCACAGTAGAAAGCAATAAGTCAGTCACTCTTTTCAGACATTAAGTCAGAATATTACGGAATATGAGTAATACAGGGAATATTATAGGGAATATGAGTAATACAGGAAATATAGGAAATATGAGTTAAATGCTTAGATACTGTACTTGCTAGTATGCTTCAAAAATTAAATGGGGATGGAATTTTGGACAGATATAGTTAATTACAACATGCTTTTTATACTGACCCTATCTGGCATTTCTAACTAGCAAATTTTATGTATTTCTATTCTCTAATCACTTCATGATACCTGTATTCCTGGTGGGTGTGTGAAATTGTGTGGATTGTAGTTGTGGCTGCATCAAAGGTAATGTGATGCCCTTCTTCATTCAATGGGATTCACATATTAATATCTAATTTCCTTTTGAAGATTAATGACAATATAAGATAGAATATATGATGGAAATCTAAATGGAGGGGAAACTGAATGGGAAAAATCAGAGAGGAAGACAAACCATGAAAGACACTTAGCTCTAAGAAAGAAACAGAGTTGCTGGAGGGGAGGGAGATGGGGGTAACCGGGTGATGGGCATTAAGAAGAGCACATGATGTGATGAGCACTGGGTGTTATACGCAACTGATGAGTTATTGAAAACTACATCTGAAACTAATGATGTACTATATGTTGGCCAGTTGAATTTAAATAAAAAATAAATAAGTGGAGATACTGTGTGTCTGACTTATAACATGAATGTATGTTATCATGAAATAGATGTTCAGGGAATCACCTGTGTTTTGTATTACTAAGGAGCATTTTAAATTATATAAACAAAATGTGATATCAACTGGTCTTTATGAAAAAGGAGGTGGTGATACAATAAAATATTGTTGTGTTTTTTGTAACGGCAATAGTTAGAAGCAGGGAATATCAGCTGTTGTGGTTGAGAGAAAGAAATCTTTACAGACCAAAAAAGTTTATTGAACAGTTGACAGCTGTTCTGTCTTTATCTTAAAGAGAAAAATGGAAAGACTTCAAAATTGTAGTATAGGAGATTTATATTAATCATTAAAAAACTGCTGTAAAGTTAAGCACTAAAGCTGGATGTCTGGAGTAGTTTATGGCATTTATTTCTTTGGTGGCCTTTTAAAATGGGCCTGGAAAAAAACAGTACTGATTCTTGTCTGGGATGATTTAAATTGAGTCCTGTTTATGGCATGACATCTCAGAATTCTTTGTTGATCAGTTTAATTTAGTTTCCATTCTACACTATACCAAAGAGGGAATAATCATACTCTTTGGTCATAACTCCTCATGCTCCTTATTGCTTCCAAGTTAAACATGTACTATAATATACGATTCTCTAATTTAGAGAATAACGAAGAAGACCAAAGTCTTCATGTCTCTCTCCTTTTTATCCCCACAGAGCCTCTCATGTCCTCTATATGTCACAAATATTTAGGGAATTTTTTTATTCCACTCATCCCTGTGTCTACCCACCTGCCCCTTTTCCACGCCATACAAATCTAGAATCATGACTGCAAAGACACACACACATGTATACAGGGATAAACTTCTTGAGGGCAGGGGCTATGCCATATCTAACTTGCCCGGAATAAATGTTCAATAAATATTCTTTAATTAAATTGCATTGAACTTATGGAGAGAAAATTAAAAGTCAGTTGAGGGGGTTTGAAAGGCAAAAAGATACCTTTCTAAAGCTGTGAATTGTGATCAATGCTTCAATATATCACCTCCACTTAGTTTGCTTAGTTCGCTTCAGGATGGTTAGAGGAACAGATTCCTCCCATAACACTTTTGTGGTACTTAGGTATCTGAAGATATCACATGCTCCAAGGCAAAGCTGTCCTGGATACCTGCAGACCAAGCTGCCTGCCTGGGCGAGGTGGCTGTGTCCAAAAATAGTGAATCCTTGAACCTAAGGGCTAATGAATTAGTGCATTCATATTGTTTGAATAAAAATAGCAGAATAAGAAAAATGCCAATTAATCAAATTGGGAGATAATTACAAAGCTTTGCAGTCTTTGTTCTCTTTCCTTTAAAAGGCACAGCAACATTGTTCACCCACTTTCCATTTGGATAAGCATTTGTTCAGTTCACTCAGCTTGTGGCCCTAATGGTTTTAAATGTCACTAATTGCTTTTGAGAACTCTGTAGAGTCCACTGATGAATCTGCTTGAAAATGGTTAGATCTCTGTATAAGGTTTGAAAAAATGTGTTTCTAGTGTCTGAATAGCTCAGTAATTTCTAAAACCTCCAGGAGAAAAGTACATGTTCTAGTATCTTAGTATCTTCTTCTGTAAAAGAACGTAGTATTTTAATACACTGTTTTTTCCCCAATGTTATCATCTAAAATATTTTTTCAAAGATTTTCCACAGAAATATAATTTCAAGCTAAAATAAATGTTTCTGTATTATACGTTAATGTCTGCTGTCTGAATTATTCTTCATCTTGTTTATCTGCCTCTAGCATGTATTTTGATAGATGACCAAGGCAGAGAACCTTATCATAAACTTTATGAATTTCTATGTTATTAGAGCTTGTGTAGTACTTGGCACTTACTTTCCAACTTACCTCTTCCTTTATGTATTTTGTCTGGGGTGGCTTAGGTACACAGAATATTCTCCTCAGCTCATAGTTTATGATCATCACTAAACTCGCTTTATTTATTTATTCTTTATGTTTCAGTTTCCTATTCCTATTCCATCCTCCCTTCCCATTCCATGGCAACTCTTCTTAATGTATTTGATGTGTATTCCCCATTTATTTATGTTCTTCTAAAATTTGTATTGCTATTTGGTGTGCATGTATGGCATTTTCTTACTTTTTTTCACTCAAAACTATATTTTGAGATCTATCCACGTTACTGGGGACATCTAGTTTGTTGCTCCTAACTGCTATAGAATACTCTATAATGAGCCTACCATATGACTGTTGCCTACCCACTCCCCAATGATAGATAGCTGGGTTTCCTCCAGTTCTATTTTAATATAAGCAAAGCTGTAATTCACAATCCTTGTATCTGTTTTCCAATTATGGCTCTAAAGGAGGATATTTTTGAGCTATATACCCAGGAGGGGGAATGCTAGATTATGGGGATATCTAGGTTGCTTTCCAGATAGCTCCAGTTTACACTCTCACCAGCAAAGTGTGAGATTTGTACATTCCACGTTCTTGCCAACTCTTGCCATTACCTAGATTCCAATTTTTTGCTAGTCCAATGGGTAGAGAGTGACACTTTGTTGTTGTTGTCTTAATTTTCATTTCTTTTTTACTAATGAATCTGAGCCTCTCTTTATATACTAGTTGGTCTTCAGGTTTCTTCTTTGTAAACTGTTCTGTCTTTGACTACTTTTACCTTGGATTCCTATCTTTTATCCAATTGGTTTGATAGAGTATCTTAGAGATTCTAGAAATTAATCCTTTGTCAGTCTTATATGTAGCCAACATCTTTCAAAGGCTCTTACTTTTTAAATATAGTCTTTTTGATAGAAATATTTACTTTTAATGTAATTCAATCTATCATCTTTTTGGCCTTATGATCTATATTTGAAATTTTGTTTTAGAAGTCATTCCCTCCTCCAAGCTCACAAAGATATTTTCCTAAAAGAAAAGATAGATTCTATTAACTATCATTTACCATTTGTATTTAGATCTTTAATCCACTTGGAGCCCACTTGTTAGTTTTTTTTTATTGAAAAATAATTGGCATATATTAGTTTCAGGTGTACAACATAGTGATTTGATATTTATATACATTACAAAATGTCCAATGAGGTGTTAGTTTTATTTTTCTCCATACAGCGAGCCAGTTTCTCAGCCTTCACTTGCCAAACTATCTGTGGTTTCCCCTCTGATTTTTAATGTTGCTTTCATTCTAAGTTGTGCATTTCTGCCTTAGTTTGGGTTCTCCCAGAAACAGACCTTGAGATAGTGATGTGGATATGAGTAGATTATTCGGGAGATGACCCAAGAAGCGCTGGTAGGATAATGAAGACAGAGAGGAAAGAGAAGGAATCCAGTAAAGAGGATGTTTTCAAAGTAGATTATCACCATGGATAACTGGGATCAGTCTGTCTGGGGAACTCTAGGAACCAATGCAGAATACATCTGGTATCTCAACTGAAGAGAGACAGAGGGAAGAGGCAGCTAAGGTACTTCTTCAGCAACTCCCTTGGGTCACCAATTGAGGGGTATCCTCAGTGGGGGGGGGGGCATTTACTCTCAGGCACTTCTAGTTCAACTACACTCCACATGGGGCTTAAACTCATGCCCCTGAGGTCAAGAGTTGCATGCTCTACCTACTGAGCCAGCCAGGTGCCCCCACATTTTGACTTACAGTGTTTTTATGTGATTTAATTCTAACCATTTTGTAATTTTCTCTTTAGCCTGGGGTTATTTACCAAAATGTTGCATATTTTCTAAACAGATGGGATATTGAAGTTGTACTTTCATTGCTGTTTATTTCTAATTCTTTTGTGTTATGATTGGAAAACATTTAAAATGCTTCCTTTTTAACTTACGGAAGTTTTCTTTATGTCCTCACACATGGTCTATTTTTGTGTAATGTTCCAATTATACTCAAAAAGAATGTGTATACTCTCTAGTGTAGATTTTAAAAAGTATTTCTAATAGTTCAAATTTATTAATGGAATGGTTAAATCTTTGCTGTATCTACTTATATGTTATCAGTTTTGAGAGAGGTATACTAAAATCTCTAACTATAACTGTTCATTGATCTATTTTTCCATGAAGTTCTACCAGTTATTAAGTAAATTTTGAGTTTTTTAAAATACATATTAATAATGGCTATATCTTTTGCTCTGCTGTTCTTTTATCAGCATAAAAACACTGAGCATAATTTAAGATCTGAGCATATGGAGATACTGAGCATTATTTAATAAAAGCATAAAATAAGCTTCCCTCTTTTCTATGATGGTTTATTTGAATTCTATTTTATCAGATATTAAGATCACTACTCCAATTTTCTTGCAATTCATATTCCTTAGAAGGTCCTTTCTCAGACTTTTTGGATAGCCTTTTTTTCTTTTTTAAGTGCAACTTTTATAGACAACATATTGTTGGATTTTATTTTAAAAATCCAATCTGAGAATCTCTGTCTTTAAGTGTTATTTTTGGTACATTCACATTATTGTAATTACTCTATTATTTGGGCTTATTTCTGTCATGTTACTTTACCATTTACTGTAATTGTTTTGTTTCTTTTCATTTTCCTTCTTTCATTTCAAGAGAATAATAATTCTGAATATTATCATATCAGAATGTTAGTAAAATCATAGTTGTCTCAAAACTCAATTATCTTATTTCATTTGATAATTTCAAATAAGGTAAAATTTCCACTAATTTGCATAAGAACAATTCTTTACCTCATTCCACAGCTGTGGTTCTTGTTCAGGCTGTAATCCTTGAGATAATACTGGAGCACCTAAAAATAAAGTTATGCTTACATGTTATTTTTATAGTATTTCTTTTAAAGTTAAACATTTATATATAATTCAGTTTCAGATGACATTTTTCATTTTCACTGTAGATCATTACCCTCCTATTTCAGCTAGATATTTCAGCATTAGACTTAGTATAAGGATACATAATTATTAAATAAACCTTAGTAGCATTTCGAAAATATTACTCTAAGAATGAATTTGTTTTCGTCTACACAAAAACATGTATACATAAATGTGCATAGCAGTATATCATAATAGCCTCAGAGTGGAAATGATCCAAATATCTGTTATTTGATAAGAGATAAACAAAAGGTGGTGTATGCACATAATGGAATACTATTTGGCAATAAAAAGGAATGAAGTACTGATATATACTTCATCAAAAAGGAATCTCAGACATACTATGCTAAATAGAATAAGCCAGATGCAAAAGATCAAGATTATATGATTCCATTTATACGGAATGTCCAGAAAAGGCAAATCCATAATAATAGAAAGATTAGTGGTTGCCTGGAGCTGGGAGTAGGAATGGAGATTGACTGCAAATGGACATAACAGATTTTTTTTGGCGGGGGGAGTGGAAAATTGTATTATTGTGATAGCTGCACAGTTCTTAAAGTCTATGTAAAACCCACTGAGTTGGGGCACCTGGGTGGTTCAGTTGGTTAACTGTCCAACTCTTGGTTTTCACTCAGGTCATGATCTCAGAGTCCTGGGATTGAGCTCCGAGTTGGGCTTTGCACTCAGTGTGGAGACTCCTGGAGATCTCTCTCTTTCTCCTCCTGCTTGTGTGCTCTCCTTCTCTTTTTAAAATAATTAAATAAAATCTTTTTAAAAACCCCTACTGAGTTGTATATAAAGTATATTTCAATAAAGGTCTTTTAAAGAATAATTATTTGTTAGGCCCTTAATTATTATTGAAATAAAATGTTAGCTAGCTTACATCCACTAAAATATTTTCTCCATAGATTCAGTTTTCTAATTCATGCTATGTAAATTATTTCAGCAAAAACACTGAAATAATATTTATTAATATTAAATGTGATTACTATTTATTTTCTTATCTATGTACATTTATCTTTAATAAAATCAAGAAAATGTCCTGTAATCAAAGACTAAGTTTTTCTAAGATCTCAAATGTAGCAAAATTAAATACTTAAAAGAATAGGCTTAAAGAAAATAACTTTTTAAAAATAAGATAGCACCTACTAACACTGAGCATTTATTGATGCCAGGCACTATCCTGGACATTTAAAGTGTATTATATCCTTTTAACCGACTTTTGAAATAGCTCTTACACCTGTTCTCACTTTAAGATGAGGAAACTGGGGCACCTGGGTGACTCAGTGGTTGAGCATCCGTCTTTGGCTCAGGTGGTGATCCTGGGGTTCTGGGATCGAGTCTTGCATCAGGCTCCCCACAGGGAACCTGCTTCTCCCTCTGCCTATGTGTCTGCCTCTCTTTCAGTGTCTCTCATGAATAAATAAATAAAGTTTCTAAAACAAACAAAAAATACCTGGTGATCTTACTCAATGAGATTCTAATTCAGGCAGTCAGAGACCAGCCCAAGCGTCTGCTTTTCTATCAAGCTCCCTGATGATACTGATGCTACTGGTTCTTGGATACCACTGAACATCCAGGAGGATAGAACATTGCATCGTAGGAAGAAATGGAGGATGCCTCATTGTTCAACACAACCAAGCAGCTCAAAGAGACATTTTAGGTCCAAGCTTCTCTCTAACAAGTCTGAACACTTCCAAAATGGGTTATGGATGTTCTCTCGAAAACCACCTAATAAAAAAAAGAAAAAGAAAAAGAAAACAACCTAAAAGGCCATCGGCTCATTCCTTACAACTTGGACGCCCTGCTTATCTGCAGTTACTAAGACTGAAATAATAGGAAGGTGGAATGGAGAGGAATGGAAGGTGAGGGCACGATTTGATGGAAAAGAACAGAACCAGAGGCAGGTACTGATGCAAAGGGAAAACACAAAGATTTCCACTCTTTCGATTCAGTCTTTACCAGCATGTACTTCTGATTTCTCCACTCACTATACCACTGTTCATCTCTCTTTGACAGGGTGCTCCTGTTTAAAGAATACAATTTTATACTCTTTTTGTTTTAAATTTTATTTATTTGAGACAGAGAGAGAGAGAGAGAGAGAGAGAGAGAGAGAGAACATGAGCAGGGGGAGGGGGGAGGGAGAAGCAGGCTCCCCTCTGAGCAGGGAGCCCAACACAGGATCATGACCTGAGCTGAAAGCAGATGCTTAACCAACTGAGCCACCCAGGCACCTCACAATTTTATATTCTTTCTTCACCTGCCTGTCTCCTACCCTTCGGTAAAAGTGGAAGCTCCCAGCTCCATGCTGCCTCCCGGTGAGCTTGCCTCCTTCCACATCCCAAGCTTGGATGGCCACACAGAAATTGCCATGATATCTTAGTCCCAAGCACTTATATAATCAAAAAGGGATACTTTGTGGTTCTTACACAACACATGTAAACAGTCTCAGGGTAAAAAGGTTAGAGGAGCCAAAATTTCAAAATATTTTTAATTTATAGAAACTCACTAATATCCAAGTACCAGACCCAAACGTAAAAAGGAAATATTTTTCTTCCCTTTGTGTACTCGTTAACCAAAGTTGATGTGATTTTTCCCCCAAGATACCCTAGGTATGGGCTTTATATAGTCAAATAGTAGTACTAGATACTTTCTTAAGTATAGTCAAAGTGCTGTTATCTCGTCGATCACAAAAACTGCACTGTTTTTGATCAGCTTTAAGATACTTATATACTGCCTAGTAAAGTGAAACCTTTAGTCTTATAGTGTACAGTCTAACTAATGCAAATAATACGGATAGACAACTTTTGCATCTGCAAATACACCATCTGTAAGAAAAAGAAGAACTGACCTTTATATTGGGGTATAACCGACATACATTATGCTAGTTGCAGCTGCACAACATAACAATCCTAAATTTGTATATATTGTGAAATGATCACCACAATAAGTCTCATTAATATCTATCACCAACGTAGTTACAGAGTTTTTTTTTTCTTGTGATGAGAACTTTTAAGATTTACTCTTAGCAGCTTTCAAATACACCGTGTAGTCACCATGCTTTACATTACATCCTCATGGCTTATTTATTTTATAAATGGAAGTTTGTAGCTTTTGACTCCCTTTACCCATTTCAAACTTCCACCTCCTACCTCTGTGAACCCCTATTCTGTTCTCTGTATCCACATGCTTGGTTTGATTTTGTTTTGCTGGGGTTTTTTAGATTCCATATACAAGTCAGATCATATAGTACCTGTCTTTCTCTGAAAAACAGAGATAATTATTTTTCTTAAGGATTTTATTCATTTATTCATGAGAGAGACACACACACACAGAGGCAAAGACACAGGCAGAGGGAGAAGCAGGCTCCCTGCAGGGAGCCCAATGCTGGGGGGTGGGTGGGGAGGACCCAATCTGGGATTCCAGGATCACACCCTCAGCCAAAGGCAGACACTCAACCGCTCAACCGCTGAGCCACCCAGGCATCCCCAGACTTAATTATTCTAAAAGTGGTGCTAATTTTCTTTCCTTGTTGCTAGCAGTTAGTGTAGGGTTCCAAAGTGAGAAATTGTTACTACTGACTGAATTTTAAGACATAGTCAATGAGCAGGAGTCTGAATTTTAAGACATATTCAATGAGCAAGGGTCTGAGTAGGAAAAAACCCTTCTTAATTTAGTCTTGGACACTTTGATCACTTACTGTCACAAGCCAAATCAAGGTTTGTTGCAGTTATCCAAAATGTTCCCTGTTTTAGAAAATTTCTTTCTTTATTTTAATGATGTTCTTTGAATCTTAAAGTGTTTCCATCCACCAGACTTGTGACTGGCTCTTTATCTTCTCATTGCTGTTGCATGCTCTGCTAACTCATTTTGCCAAGGATGCTCCACTTTTTGACACTATTTTATTTTTCTATGGCTTTGTGACATTTGTTTTGTTGTTTTTAGATACATCCAGTTACATCCTGCATAATGATTAATCTTTGTAGATTATCTCCCAGTTTTGATTATGTATGTCATGCTTCCCCTCCAATGCCATTTTTAGGGACTCAGGACTAGGGAAGATGATACTATGTTCACTCATTCCCCTCTCCCTCACATCTTTAGAGAGATAAAATTATTTTTTTCAATATCAAGAGCAGGTCTAAAGGGGAAAAAGATACAAAATGATAGTTTAGGGGGTTTCTGTGCAGTGGAAAAGGCATCTTGTCCGTTTGCTCGAGAAATACTGGGGATGTTTATGAGATGATTGGTCAGCCAGCAGAAACATTCTTTCTCAACATAAAACCCAAGACTTGTCCTTTGCCAAAAAAAAAAAAAAAGGCCTCCTACAGTTTCTGCTTAATCACCAGCAGCCTGAAAATTCCCCCATTTCTCAAAAAAGCAGTTATCTCCCACCGATCCAAATATCACTGTAAGCATATAGTATGTAACATGTATAGCAAGTACATTTGCTTTACAGAGAAAAGGACATTTTTAAAACTATAATCATCTGCTTCTTTAACAAGGTAGATAAAGACTGCCGGGGATCCCTGGGTGGTGCAGCGGTTTGGCGCCTGCCTTTGGCCCAGGGCGCGATCCTGGAGACCCGGGATCGAATCCCACGTCGGGCTCCCGGTGCATGGAGCTTGCCTCTCTCTGTGTGACTATCATAAATAAATAATAAAAAAAATATAAAAAAAAAGGCTGCCATCCTAATTCTACCAAAAACAAATTTAAAACATTAAAATATTAACACTACTTTGCATAGGTTATGCTGTAGCATTGCTGGCTATGTGATGGAGAAGGTTTAGGTCTAGCTTCGGACTGCTAAGATTCCATAGCCAAAAGACCTCATTTTGCAAGCAGGAGAGCTCCTCCCCACCTCCTTCTCCAATGCCCCCAGGAAAGGGGCCAAAAAACCAAAAATGATAAAAGGACAGCA